CGGGAGGCCTCCGCCCCTCGCTAGGCTGACTACGAGTTCAAGTTGTCCTTCACCACATTCGCACTGGAGCGAAGTTGGTGAAAAGTCGATAAGCTGGTTGGCAAATTGTCGTCTCTGGCAATTTGACAATTTGCCGGAACACTAGATGCCGTCGTGCTACAGCACGGTAGGTGCCGTCGTCTCGTCGTCACTGCCATCTCGTCAGAATCGGGTGGCTGCACTTGCGGCAACTTGTGAGCCTTATGCCGAGTGTGTGAGACGAACAAAAAGACATGAAGTAAGGGCCCACTTGACAGCATGGTAGAGCTACCATAGTTTCGATTTCATAACTGGCATGACACGGTCCTTCACATGGTTCCAGCTCATCTTCTTCGTTAAGAGCTGCTCCACATTGCCCTACCGGACACTGGCCGTTGTTGCTGAAGAAAATAGAGCTCACAATATCTCCAAAAAATTCGCCGAGTATGAACTCAGTAGATGCGGATGGCACCACTGCAATGGCCCTACATCCTGTGATGCGGTGACTGGTCAGGATGCGCCATTGCGGTCACTTTGAGAACTAGGTCGCCTCAGTGTGCGAAGATCCTGGTCAGTTGTTTAGTGACCTTTCAACCCTCACAAGTCAAAGGTTAGACTTGGTACGACCTCGCACGAGCAATGACCTCCTGGAGTGGTACATCCTGACCCTGTCAGGTGAAGAAGGCGTCGCGCGCGAGAACGCGACTTAGTTGCGCGGCAACTGTTGCGGTAGAATCGTTCCTCGCGTGTCAACATGCCTCGCAAACATCCCGTTAGGAACACAATTCAAGTTTGAGGGGCGTCGCGTTCTGACCTAATGGCACACATTCTGCATGACAGCTGATTCGGTTTTCGAAATGCAGCGTTTGACATTCGGATGGAGCTGAAGCCGCCCGTTCGGACGAAAGTGTTGGGAACGTACTTTTTTATAGCCTCGTCGTAGCACTGTGCACATAAATCATGTTGACAAGCAGTGTGGTAGACATCGCCGGCGATAGCGAGCTTCCTCAAACAGCGCTCATATTCGCATGGGTTCCAACGGATGTCCATCGGTGGCATTAGTGGAGAATAACAATGTTTTGCGGGGCATATCTGAAATGCGATCACTCTATTCTTTTGCTCTAGCAGTCCAAATAAAGACAAGTCCGGGTAGTCGCGTCGCAGTGGTAACAGAAGTAAAGTTGTTACTGAGATTCGTTGATGACGACTCGAAATGGTCAGTGAAACCACTGCCGCTTGCCCGATAAAAATACTGCTATCCCACGCTGCCTAGGACCATCGCCTGGATGCAGGATTGCGAAGTGAACGGCTGAGCGGATGCATGCGGTATACCATCCACCCACTCTTTCGGCTAGGCCATGGGCGACAAGTGAAGTCCGGCCATGCTGTCAAAGACATCGCGGGGAATCCGTCCATGGCTTGAGATCAGAGGAGCCTCCTAACCCATGCCCTCACTGTTAAAGGAATCACGATGGTGGTAGCCACCTGTGTAACATCTATACTGTGTAAACACCCTCAATGGCTTTACCACTTAAGATTACTACTAACTTTACTAAACTTTACTAGCTCGGTTTGCACGAAGTTTTCTATATCACTGCCTTTATCATAATCATGGAAAGCTGTTTGGTGAACAGATATACAGACTGATAGACCAATGGCATACATCTTTGAACGGTTCACGTGGAAGCTACTGGTATCTAACTTTCTATGCTGTTACAGATCTGAAACACGATTGGAAGACGGGCGGTTGAATCGGTTTTATCTAATCGATTCGCCGCACGCGGCTGTCGCTGACTAGTTGCCTCGTTTTTGGAGTTCTAACGTTCTTCGTACAGCTTGATCGATATGCGATCACTATTTCAGGCATGATTCTACTGTTAGTTCTTTTGTTCCTGTATTTCTTACTCGCTGCGCTGCTTCTGCTTCTCTCCGCCACATTCCTTCGCATGCGACGTCGCTTTCTCCGCGAAGCTACCATTTCGATTCAACTGCACCACACCCCCAAAGTTTGCTTCGTAAAGTGTAACAGGAGGAACGTAAGAATAGATTATCGGTTGGGCCACCTTAGGATGATTGGGTGAATGCTTCTCATCTTGACTCCTCACCTACCAATGCAGATTAGGGAAGATCTTGCGATCGGCTCCGATGAGGCGACTACAAAAGTCTGAACCCACGTACCTTACTGGTCCTCCTCGTCTGTTGTTGGCACTTAATACAGACGATGTGCAAGCAAGGGACCAACTGGACAGCGTCGTTACACTTCACGCTCGAACGACAGGCTACGCAATAGATGGACATTTCTCACAAACAGAACTATCCCTCGACAATGGGATGGATGAACTGAGACTTACCCTTCCTCTATCCCTTCCGCAAGGATAGTGATTTGGACATCATCTCAGGGTTCTGAATTCTAAAACTATTAACGGACTTCAGCCTGTCACATAGGTTGATAAGCAGAGCCAAGGGGTATAAAGAAAAGTCTTGGAGCGTTAATCGATCCCGTCTGAGGGATGCGCCCACGCCTTCGACTTCCATTCAGAATCGTAGCGGCGTATTGAATGCGTATGTAGCCTGTACAACGACTTTCAGTGGCCAGCCGATGTATAGACGGCCCTCCCAGACGAGTTTGGTACCAATTAACCGACCTTGGAGGATGAAAATCTCGATTGGCCTAGGCTGATATCGGTCCGGAATTCGAACCGGTGAACAATGTGATAATGCGCCAATGTGATGGGGCGATGAACGAAGGCGCTATGGTGAAGGATGGAGAGTAGGGTTCGGTCTTGATTGTTCAGCTTCACAGTCTCAAAGCTACACACAAAATGTATTATACGACCTCCTCCCAATTCTCTCCTACGGTATGACTTCACTCCACCGCAAGTTTGGCACGATGCCTAGAGTGTAGTAAGACCTCATCGCATACCTTCCACCATTCTCCAACAATCATCACGAGCAGAGCGGTGTTTTTGCTATTGAAAATCAGCCCTTATCACGATCGTTTACGAAAACAACTCATTAGCATACAATCCGAAAGGTATAAAAGGAGTAGGATGAAGTAGGTTAAACCAGTTCAAGAAGAAATGTCTTCAGTTCCTCCTGGCGATATCAACACTCAGCCGAATTCGAAGATCGTCTTCAACGCTCCGTACGACGACAAGCACACCTACCACATCAAGATCATCAACGCCTCTGGCCGACGTATCGGATGGGCCATCAAGACCACCAACATGAGGAGGCTTGGTGTCGACCCTGCCTGCGGAGTGTTGGACCCTAAGGAAGCCACTCTTATGGCTGTCTCCTGTGATGTGTTCGACTATGGACGTGAGGTAAGATCCTTCCTACTGTTCAGGCTCAGCTGAACCTGGATGATATCGTACTTCCAGGACACCAACAACGATCGAATCACCGTCGAATGGTGCAACACACCTGAAGGAGCCGCTAAGCAGTTCCGACGAGAATGGTTCCAGGGAGATGGTATGGTCCGCAGGAAGAACCTTCCCATCGAATACAATCCTTGAAGACGTGTGTGTTCAATAAATTAGTTATGTATAGCATTCGGTGGGGACACAAATAAACGAAATGCTATCGTTGTTGGTCCGAACGCAGAACGTCATTCATTCCATTTCATAGGGTACCATAACTCTTCTCAAGGGTACCGCTAACGTGCCTATTGTAAGGTACTCTTATTGGGCGTACTGCTTCCTGAGAGTTTTCGACACGGCTGGCGATGCAGACACTCTTTCCGCTACTCCGCTGAAGTAGTGCATTGGAAGATAGAGTACGGAAGGCGAAACTCGCCCTGAGCGTTTTATGCCAAGGGTCAGCTACTCACTGAATGGGAAGATCTGATGATCAGTCGACGAGGGTCTGGGAAACACAGGGAGCAAGGGGAAAGTATAACCCAAGCTTCAATGCCGACCCCGCTGACTACGGCTCGATCTATCGGTTACCAATGTATCCAAAAACTTCACCCTCCTGCGTTGTTGGTGTCCTCCTCTAGGCATTCCATAGGAACGCAACAACAGGACGATACTACCAACGCAGGAGGATACCACCAACGTAAATGCAAGCTGAGTTTAATACTAACTAGGCACTTCCCGGAAATGGGAAGCTCGGTGACCTGAGCGAGTTT